TATCATTATTATAACAATAATTATAGTGCCAACCCTGTCTATTATTATTAGTAATCCTTTTTGTATTTTCTTCTTTTTAAAAAGCTAATAATTGCCCTTTAATAACCATATCTTGCATTTTTTTTTCTAAGCTTTCAAATTCAGACTGACATTTAAGAAATTGATCATATCTGATTTTTTTAAAGCAAGGTTGTTTAGTAGAATGACATGAACATTTTTTTTTTCAAAAAATTTTTTTATTTCTGATTTTAATTTATTATATATTTGTCTTCAATATAATTGTCAGGAATATCTACGAACTCTGATTCATTTAATTTATTTAAATTAAGATTATCACCAATATTGGGTAATTCATCATTTAATTTTTCATTGTCTAATTCTTCATCTTCCAATTCTTCATCACTTAATTCTTCATCATCTAATTTTTCATTATCTTTTTCATTTTCTGAATCTGAATGTTCAACAAAAAAAATGTTGTCTAAATCTTTTAAAGATATTAAAATAATATCATTTATATCATTATCATTGGAATGTATATTAGATTCTAGAATAAAGAATTCTGAACTAATATGTAGTTATCAGCCCAAAGAATAATAAAGTAGTAATACATTCATTGTGCAGATAATATTACAAAATCGACTAAAAACCAGAATTAATTTAATGCCTACAAACCTTTTAAAACTCACAAGTCAAGTAAGTATAATTAAGATCCTTTGTTATACTCTGGATCGATTATTTAATTATTCCACCTGATTGAATTCAGTTTAGTAGAATATTATTCCCATTAGTTATATTGTTTTTATAATGTAAATATATCATTGCATTTGTGACTAATTAAATCTTGATTATAACAAGCTATATGCATATCGATATGCTAATTTTAATCATTACTGTTACAAATTAGTTATCACTATCAAAAAAAAAAATGTTTACTATATAATTAACAAAAAAAAACTTATATTTATAAAAATAAGACTATTAGACAGGTAATTATTATAAAATTTCAAATTATGATTGGCTGCCCTGAAGCATCCTTTTGCTGTGGGCCCTTCATATAAGATTTTATTAAAAAAATTAAACTTTTTAATAAAAATACAGGCAAATTTGCCTGTGTTACAATTTAAAGGATATATTTTGTATCATCTTTTTTTTTCTTTGTACTTCTTGCTTTTGTGTCTTTTTGGTTTCATGTACTTTTCTTTTTTGAAGAGGCTCTTCTTTTTTACATTGTTTCTTATTGGCTAGTTTTTTTGTCTTCTCTTCTGCTTTTTTTAATTAATTCAATAATTCTTCATTTGTTAGAAGCCAGAAAAAGAATATAGTTTTTCTTTTTTTTCTTTTTAGAGGTAGAGATTTTGATTGCTTTTTCTTATCTTCTAGATTTTTAGTTGGTGGACTAGAACACAAAGGATATTTAAGTATTTGCTGCAAAGAACTTGTACCAGGGTTATAGAGGGTTTTGATCTCTTCTTCTAAACTCTTAACCCTTTTATTTAATAGCTTAATCTCTGACACCAGTTCTTTTTTTTGTAGGGTTTGTTTTTGTAAGATATGTATAATATAGGGTTATCTTCAAAGATCATAAAAATGAAAACAATTGCAAAGATGATAAAGATTGTGAAGATGATGAAGATTGTGAAGACAAGAAAGATTGTAAAGACAAAGAAGATTGTAAAAGCAAGGAAGATTGTGAAGATCAGAAAGATTGTAAAGATAAAGACTCAGAAATGTTGGTATATTCAGTTGCCATTAAAGAATCTAAACAGTTAGAGCCAATTGTACTAGAATTAAATAGCCAAATTCCTCTAGCTTTGAAGAAATTACATATTGCAATAGGCATATAGGTTGTAATGTAGGATGCTTCTAAAATTTTAGCAAATGTTTATTTAGTTACATTTTTACTATTATTAATGTGAAACCTATCATATTCTTGGTTGTATGCTTTTTTTAGAGTGGTGAATGGTAATTTAGCTAGCTGTAAAATATGAGTGGTATCAGGTGAGAGACAATAGAGAAGAATATTGTTCTTGTAACAGAAGTTAACACTAGTGTAGTTAACATAGCTCTTATAGCCATTTAGAATCAGCAGAACAGAACATATTGAAGAGATAGAACTAATGAAATGCTCTATATATTTTTAAAATAAGCTTTCTCACATATATCCTGTCTTGGTAAATCCCATAACAGAATAGCAGGTATGCTATTTAGAAGACCAGGAATCATTTGTTTTCCTTTAAATAATAAGTAATGGTAAGATATATATTCTGGTAGCTGATATAGTTGGGCATACAAAAATATGTTTGTAGGAGCTGCCAAATAAAACCTGATAAACCTGGCAAGCTTTCTTTTTTGCTACAACTTTTTGGAGCCTGGGTTCAATAATGAATCCTGTTTTATTCTAAAAAAAAAAAGATAAAAAAAAAATAAAATAAAAGAATAAAAAGTAAAGCAATTAAAAAAAAAATTAAATAAAAAAAAAAAATAAAATAAAATAAAAAATAAAAATAAAAGAATTAAAAAAAAAAAAAAATCAAAAAAAATTTTTTTAAAAAAACAAAACCATATTCCAAATTCTGTTGAACATAAGTGAATAATCTTTGATGATTTTTTCAAGTTTGCTAAAGTAGTTATTAACTATAACAGGATTCACTTTTTGTGTACAAGCTTTATTTAGGGCTTGTAAAACATGAAATGAAAGCTCTGAGTAATTCTTTATAAAGCATTGCCACCATTTTCACCCTGGCCTATTTTTATTAAAAGGATTGGGTCGCTTGCTTTGATGAATAATATCTAACATACACTGATTTATGCTGAATCTTGTTAACCCAAAACCAAGCCTCTGTATGTTTAAATAATAACCAACCAACTGTTTTTTTTTATAGTTGATTATGATCTTAGTATGACCTGGATGGGTGGAAGAACTATTATTTTTGATGGCATGTCTAAGGGTAACTTCCGAAAGACCATAGTCCTATGCAATACTTTTGGTGCTTTGAATTTTGAAATCATTTGGGGTTTCTTTAATTACTTTAAGAGCATTGGTTATGCCAATATGTCGAGCATTATAATCACTATACTTTGTTATTTTAACAAATATTTGAAAGTAATAAACTATTTCTATTTGCTTTATCACAATATAAAAGTTTAATTGTTTATAACTATTGGGTGTAAATGCTTTTATTACATTTAACAAAATATTTTGAAATATTATATAGACTGATTGTAAATATTTACATAATTGAAAACTATTTATTCAAACTAATATTTAATCTCGCATTTTTTTTCGTGCATTAATAAGATCATGCAACTTGATCCAAATTTTTATTATAATTACAATTTATATAAACTTATCAATAGAAAAAAACAATATTTAATGCATAGGTATTGGGTATTTAATATAGTGTTTTGAACCGTCAACCGAAAGTTCAACCGGGACTGATCCGGGTAGACTTCCGGGTATTCCCAGCCAATCATTGATGTTTGTTTACATCGGGTAAAATAGGATCAACACATCCTATTTTACCGATGTAAACAAACATCAGCGATTGGTTGGGAATACCCGGAAGTCTACCCGCATCAGCCCCGGTTGAACTTTCGGTTGACGGTTCAAAACACTAATTTAATATGAAAGGCCGATTTTAACGTGTTACTATTATTTTTGTCAGAACTACGCACGAGAAAGTTAATCTTACCTGGGCAAGAAAATTTAAAAAGATCAATTAAATTGTGATATCTCGCGTTCTTGTGATCTAAATCACGTGGTTTTGGTATTATTCGACTCGTCTAAATGAGCCGAGTCGAATGATACCAAAATCACGTGATTTGGACCACAGGAACGCGAGATATCGTCAGTGCGTCAAATTAGGCACTGCGTCAAATTAGGGACACTTACCTTAGTATATAAGTTAGGTAATAATAATTTACCAAATAAATTTCGAATAACCATTTTTCTTGACACAATAAAAATCTATGATATAGTATGTAAAGTTAGGTAATAATTGTTTACCGAACAAATTTCGAATAAGCATTTTTTTTTGGCGCAATAAAAAATTTTATATTATTTAATAATAATAATAATTTTGTATGTCGGGTTATGAGATCTGGTTAAGTAGAATCTCAGATCAGACTTTAAACAGCGATTACGTAACTGATCGTGGTGGTTATGCTAGGGTGGTTCAAGATTTGAAATTACACCCCTGCGCGTTATTCTGAGTCTATACGGTATTTGTTTACTGTACCGTATGACTGATATCATATAAATATTTTAATCTGTATTAAAACTGGGCATGTGATTATGATAAAGAGAAGTTATTGGACACAACCGGTTTTACCACAGAAACTCGACATCCAAAATCCCAACACAACTAATAAATATTTATTTTCGAATGCTTAAACTTTTAATATATTCATAAGCAATTTTTTTCTAACTATTCAACATTGTAAGATATATCTGGATCCTTTGTAAGAGATATATGCCTTCGTTAGGATTAATAGCTTTTCACAAATTTTGATTTACAATTGTCTTCTTTTATCAAATCACTATATCTGAATGGCTTTCATTAGAGTAAATCATTTCCTCATTATGATCATTTTCTATCTGGTTAATTGCTTGCATAAATCCTTCACTATATATAGATAATTCTAATAAAATTCGTTCATCATTTTGCCATTCCGTAAAAGTTTCTACAACCTTATCTGCAGATGGACGTCTTTCCGGTTCTCCGTCCCAACATTGTTTCATTAAGTTAATATAACACGTTTCTTCAAAAATTTTTTCAAAAGTTGTTGGCCTTAATTTATCGTGCACTATTTTCTCGTGCAAATTTGAACCAAATGCTCTGTTGTAAAATCCAATCACTGATATCCCATACAAAATCTCCCACATAATTATGCCAAATGAGTAAATGTCAGACGCTTTGGTATATGACTTTCTATTTTTAACTTCAGGGTCTATAACTTCCGGTGCTATAAATGGTAAAATTCCACAAATCCTCTTGGATTCCTCTCTTGAATCTATGTTAGTTGATATCGAAAGTCCCAAATCTGCAATATATGCATTATCTAAATTATACAGTAAAACATTGCCGCTATGTAAATCTCGGTGAATAATTTCTTGAAAATGAATTATTTGAAGATAAAAGCAATACTATGTAATAATTTTAATTTATCTTTCCATTCTGTTAGTGCTACATGGATAAGTCTATCACGTAAAGAACTCCTGGCTACTTGCATAACAAGAATATAATTCTTATAAATATCGTCTCTTGATATTCCATAACATCTTAAAAATGACGGATTTTATTGCCAATATCACAATATGCCTTTAATATTGATAAATCGTAAATCGTTACATATTTGTACATAAATCAATTAAATCAATTTACCTCTTTTATAAATTCTTCATTACTTTCGTTTGATTTATGAACCAACTTAAGTGCTACGAATTCATTGCATTCAACACTTTGATTTACCCAGGTAGCATAATATACCGTTGCGAATCCGCCTTGCCCTAAAGTGCTTATAATCTTGAATTCGTTATAAGGAATCCAAGATAATGGATATTCGCTTTCTGCTAGTATTTTTTTTATATTATCATTAATATCTAAATTTACATATATTCGCCTGCTTTTTCCTGAAAAAAAGTTAAACTTGTTATATTTTAAATTATTTGAAAAATAAATAAATAGCCTAAACAATATTTAATCACCTAATGTTAGTTTCCGTCCCCTGAATGTTTTTTTTTTATGATTATTAAAAGATAATTGTATAAATTTATAATAATAGTATAAAATAACCTACATTTGGTACCATTCATTGGCCTTTTGTAAGCCTCTTGTTGTTCCAAATCCGTTTCTATAACATTCTGCAACACGATATACCGCGCTAGCATCCCCCATCTCTGCCGATTTTCGAAAATAAATAAATGCATTATTTTCATCCATTTCAACACCGATGCCATTTAAATAACAATATCCAACCATATATGTTCCACCAGCGTCACCCATCTCTGCAGATTTTTGATAATAAATGAATGCTTTATGTTCATCCTTTTCAACTCCAATTCTATTTTCGTAGCAGTATCCAAGATCGTATATTCCATTAAAATCATCCATATCAGCAGATTTTTGATAATAAATGAATGCCTTATTTTCATCTTTTCAACTCCAATTCCGTTTTGATAACACCAATCAACATTAGATGTTCCGCTAGCACTTCCCATATCAGCAGATTTTTGATAATAAATAAATGCCTTATGTTCATCCTTTTCAACTCCAATTCTATTTCGATAACAATAACCAACATTAAATGTTCCATCAACGTCACTCATCTCTGCAGATTTTTGATAATAAATGAATGCCTTATGTTCATCTTTTTCGACTCCAATTCCATAATGATAACAATAGCCGACTTTATATGCTCCACTAGCGTAACCCATTTCTGTTGATTTTTAATAATAAATGAATGCCTTGTATTCATCCTTTTCAACTCCAGTTCCTGTATGATAACAACTTCCAACATTATACGTTCCAATAGCATTTCCCATTACTGCAGACTTTTGATAATAAATAAAAGCTTTATGTTCATTTTTTTCAACCCAATTCCATGATAATAACTACATCCAACGTTACATGTTCCACAAGCGTTTCCCATCTCTGCAGATGTTTGATAATAAACAAAAGCCCTATGTTTATCCATTTCAACACC